TCAGAGAGGGCAGACATGGGATCAAGAGAATGAACAAAACATCCCATCAATTTTGTCATACATTTGCTAGAAGCAAGTCACTAGGTCCAGCCCACACTCAAGGGGAGGAGATTCTACAAGGGTTTGAATACCAGGATCAGGGGTCTTTGGGAGCCATTTGGGAGACTGCCTACTACACATATAATCCACAGATAGGACAAATCATTGCATGTACTTTGGATGCTCTGGCACTCATTTGTTTAAACTTTCCCAAGAGCTTGCCAAGAACCTGAATTCAGTAGATAAAATGATTTTAAAGTTTCACATAAAATATTTCATTTATTCCTAGCAACAATCCAATTAAATAGATATTGTTAACCCCAATTTTATTGATAAAGAAACTAATATATTGAGTAACTTGCTCAAGATTACATAGCAAATAAGCTATAAAACTGGGACTTTAGTGTAGGTCTTTTGATTTTAAGCCCTCTACTCTTTCCATTTGGCTATAACTACCTGCTAACCAGTGCTATGTTGCATTTAAAGCCATTCAAAGAGAACATTATACCTCTAAATTTACATGCAAATATATGAATTTTTATTATAGATGTATATATAAAAAGAGGGAGATACCATCTTGTCTTAGGCTCTCATTCATACCACACTGTTTAGGAGTTACAGTATTATTGTTTCAAGTATTGTGTCAAAGTCTAATACCTTTATAAAGTTTGCAACAGCTGTTATGGTGATATACCTCTAGACAGATGCAGGTAATCTAAAAAATTACACTTAGGAGGTAAATTTTGTTCGATGGAGAGATGAACAAGGAAAGTAAAAAAGCAGAACTGGTCTGGTGACTCATTCCCCCTTGGCTTGTAAATATATAGAAATCATCGTATTTCTATATAACTGTAACAAATAATTGGAATTGAATTAGGAGTATGGGCAAGTTACAGTTTTAGTTTAATATTGATTACAGATAATTCTACTTTATAAATAAGAACTTGAGTGTTATCAGACAAAATACAATGAAATAGTTTTTTCCTCATTTGAATATAAAGGACATAGTTGTCTTTCATACACACAAACATGCATTTGAGTTTCTCCTTCCTGTATAATCTGAGGATTATGCTTTTTAATAGTGGTTTGCTAATCCCTTTAAATAGCTCTTAATGTAAGTATTCCATAGTTTTCATTAACCATGAATTTCAGCCTTTTTTTTAACCTCCATTCAAAAATCATATTTGAGGTTGTCCTACCAGCACCCTTTTAGCTTGGTTGGTGAAGCAGCAAGCCTACTGTAAATCCTAAGTGGCATGGTACAGATGAGAGTCTAAGACTTTAATTATATGTCCTTTTATTCACAACACTCAATTCCAGGAAGGAAAAAATGACTCTGTTGTTATAAAAGACATATGTGAGTATCATTCATTGTAAACCAAAAATGATACTGTATTATAGCATAGACAACAATGAGAGCTGATTCTGAAAATGTGACCTGACTGGGAAACTGAATAATAGTGAAAGTTATCAAAATGGAAAGAGTGTTAATGTGAAATCCAGCCTTCTCAGAAATACTCTTTCCTGGCCTGTTTGGTTTTGCTTTTGTTGCTTGTCATGCATGAATGAAAGTGCTATAATCTCAGGGGAGCAGGAAAAGCCTCAGTGTCGGTTGTTTATTTCCTTAATCCCTCCTCCTTTGTGATTTTTGATGTCAGATCTGAAATGGAAAGCCTGTAAATATAATGATTATCACATGGATAATCACCTGCATTAGAAACCGCCCTGCTTCTCTATTCTAACCCGAGCTGCTCTCCACATGTCACATCCACTCTGCGGTTGGATTTTAACCTGACTGCTTCATTAGATTTGTGAAACTCAGTACGAGGCGCCCTGGGGCAGCACAGATGGGGACTTGCTTGTTTTCTTTTCTCACTTTTACCGCAAAGGCACACTAAAAAGTCCTTTTCAATTTAGTGCGATCAGTTCACTTGGAATTAACCCTGATATTTGGAACCTGCCTTACCCTTCTGCCCACCATCTATGCCCATTCTTTCTTCCTTGTTTTCTGACCTAATGCCTTTTCTTTCTGTCCCTTCATGCAGGGAATCTGACAAGTAAAATTCTGCTTAAAATTCTTACTGGGTCAAACTATTCCCCTGTGTTGTTTTGTTTTGCTGAGAGGAAGAAATAAATGTTGTTCCATCATTGTATCTACAAACACCTTCAGATCAGAGGTTAGCTGTGGGAAAGATTGCAGTGATGTGAGCCAGCTGCCTTCTCTAATGGAGTGACTTGGGGCACCAGCCCAAGATCAAAAGAAGGTGGGAGGAAGTCAGAAGATAAGATCATTTTAAGCCATAGAACAAGTGCTTAGCTTTTCTAGTGATAGGGCACAGCTCGTCAAACCTGTGTGAGAGGGCACTAAAATAGAAAATTGAGTTGACTTTTCATAAGTACATCCTTCCTCAGTCAGAAATATGTTGATGCTTGGATTAGTTTACAGACAGGGAAGTATCCTAAGGCCTGGTTCCATTAAAATGGTTTGACATTGATATATATGTCTTCCTATAATTAGTTCTATACCATAACAGATCAGAGTTAATTTCTTATACATTTGTGTGAATAAAACTGGACATTAAAAAACAATTTAAGTACTGCATGTGAATTTTGAGTATTTATGTCTTGCTGCAATTTTAGTCCTACAGATGCTTCAGTTTAACTGTCTTACATTCCTCTGGGGTTCTTTTCATACCTCTGATGAAGTTCCACATAAATATGTAGTTCTAGCAGAGCTTTTCTGTGGTCTTTTTCATATAAGAATTGGCTTCCTTAATTATGACAGCTTAGAAAGCACTACATTGATATCTTTTGAACCTTTTTCCTTAATATCCTGGCCAGCAAATATTATTGACTGTGTGATGTACAAAGTTTTATTGTAAGTAAATCGTCAAGCGGCTAACCTTGCTTGCACCAGTGTCAAGATCATAAATCAAGTTTGGTGTTGTTTGGTTTTGTTTGGTTTACATCAACTAAGGCTAACTTGGTCAGGCTTTTGTTTCTCTAGTGAATAGCCTAAGGAGTTGTACTTTCAGCTTATCGCTTTCTGTTAACCTCAGTGCTCAGCTGTAATAATGCATTTTAACCTTTCTAAACTCTCAAAATGATCCTCTAAATCTATATGTTATTAGTATATTGGACCATAAGTGCATATATACATTTTTGTACTCAATATTTTCTTCAAGATGTAGATAATACCCAAATTTGTGCTGGAGACACTGACTGTACTTTCTGCCTTACATGGTTTGGTGCAGCAGTCGTTTTAGTTGAGTTGGATCTGCTCACTACTCAGGCTCGAATCCCATCCTTCTATTAATATCTCTTGGCAAAGATAATTTTGGAGGAATGCAAGTTAAGATGTAGAGGCTCTTGACAGTTGTCTGCAATTTTTTTTCATTTTCAAGAGGGAAGTGGAGTTGAAAAGTAATATTGCCTCTATTTTCTTTCAGTCCTAAAATTAAAATATATGCACAAAGCAAAGAAAGGGAAAGGATTTGGTTGCACAGATGTGTTTCTGTCATTTGATAACCTGTTATAAGGGGATTGAGAGATATAATAATGTTTATCAGATTGTACCCTTCAGATATTTAAAATCTAGAAGAATTCTGTCTAGTAAAAATTTTTCAATTGTATATGTTTTTTAGTGTTCAACTTTTGTTACCCTGTCATCTTATATTAAAGGGAAATTGGAGGTTTTTTGACTGTTCATTATAAAAATTTTCAAACATACAAAAAAGTAGAGATATTGAACCCTTACGTATATCTAGATTTGACAGTCATTAACATTTTACCATTTTTGCTTCGCTTTACTTTTTTTCTGAATCATTCTAAAGTAAATTATATATATCGTGACATTTCATCCCTAAATACTTCAGGATACATCTCTAAAAATTAAGGATATTTTCCTTTTAAAACTGACAATTCCTAATATTATCTAATTTTCATTTCATATTCAAATTTCTCCAGCTGGCCCCAAAATGTCTTTTATAGCTGGTTTGTTCAAAACAGAATCCAATTAAGATCCATACGTCCATAGGTCATTTTCCCCTTACTGTTTGTTATACCATGACATTGACTTGTTAAAAGAGACTAAGCTAGTTGTCCTATAGAATGTCCTACCTTATGGATTTGTCCACTTGCTTTCTCAGTGTATCCTTTAACATGTTCTCCCATCTTCTGTATTTCTTGTAGACTGCAAGTTAATATTGGACTAAAGTTTTGATTAATTCATGTTAAATTTTTTTGGTCAGATTGCTTTATAGGCGATGCTGTGAACTTCATACTGCATCATAACAGAAGGCACAGAATAGTTGGTGATCCCACTGTTAGTGATGATAAGTGATAGCATAGATCACTGGGTTAAAGTGATGACAGCTTGAGCCTTCCATTATAAAGTTATGCTTTGCTCCCCGTGACCAGCATATAATCTGTGATACTTTGATTCCATGGAAATACCCGGTTCCCTATCATGCTTTCACCCAATGAATTTAACATCCATTGATGATCCTTCTCTGTAATAAATTTCATCATGAGGATTATAAAATGGTGATTATTCTGAATCTATATGTTTATTAGCAGACATTCTTCTCTACAGAAGAGCTTTCTGAGAGCTATTTTTTAATTTAATTAAAAACATAACCACCAGCATGTTCCTTAGGTTTCAAATAATTGTCTTTCTTTACTAAGGTCAGAACACCTGAACTCACTGTGGCAGCTGTAGTAAAAACATACACTGCATCTTTATTCCAACTTGTGAAGTGTGTTGACATTATGCTGCCTTTTTTTTTCTTATTCCAAGGGAAGAAAGAAATCTTTATTGGTGTAAGAATAAAAATTGAACTATGTGGGTATATTGAGATAATTGTGTAAAAAGAAGACTATTTGAATGAGTTTCAAAAATGGATTATTTCTTCATTACCCAGCACTTTATAATTAACTGTTCTTTTTTTTTTTTATTTCAGGAAGCTGCCACTTTTGCTAGAGAGCAAGGCTTTGAGGTGAGTTAACCCACAATTGCACACTAAACAGATCCTAAAGGTTTTTTCTAGCTGATAATGAAGTTCTTTTGGACAGTGATTGATGTGCTATTATACTCTCAGAGCCTCGCAGCAGTTGCCATGGAAACTTGGCAGTCGTCATGGTTTCTTTGTTCTGCCAGCACAGTGTTATGACGCACTCTGCTAGGTCTGCACCCAACATCGCCTACAGATGTTATTTATTGAATTTTGAAAAGCCTCTTGGGAAGCCAAGAGGTTGGGCACGGTTTCAAGCTGCCTCTGCAGATATGGGGCCTGTCAGTTTGTTCAGTTAAAAAGCTACCTCATTAGCTGCATTACATTTCATAAGGATTCTCTGCTAAAGCAGTGGTGGAGCAAGACTAAATAATGAAATATAATGTCGTTTAAATAATTTCAACCCTATCACATGTAGATTATCATTATGCAAATTAATTTCCAAAAGGTTGTACTTAACAGTTGTTAGGAACTGATTAATTTAAATCCTGCTCATATAAACTTCCTGTTTGAACGTATTTTTCTTCTCTTCCCCTCTTTTTTCTTGATAGCATAAAATATACATAAATTTTCTGAAACAAAATACGAATAATGGATTTAATTTCCAGGTCCTGATTTTATTTTCCTGATACAAGTATTATCCTGTCAAGATTGAAAACCTCACGTAGTTGTTGGCAAAATTGAGATAACAGTCAAGACCATGTTTTCTTATTCTGTATTATATCCATCTTCCAATTGATTGTTAGAAAACACTAATATGAGCCCAGATTAAGTGACAGAGATTAACTGAGTTTATGAGGCTTTTATGACTATGATATTTATTAAGCCAGAGCTATGTGGAATGCTCTGTTCTATACAGCAACTTAAAATGTTGTAGAATAGTAGTTTTTAAAAATTTAACTAGAGCTGTGGAATATAGGCACTCCCTCCTTATTTGCATTCTCAGACTTGTCTTTCATCTAGAGAAGCTGTGAGCATTGATTGGATAGTATTAGTAAACTGACTCTGAACTCTTCAGAGCAAGGTGTTGTATGAATTTGTGATGGAACTGTTATTTAAATGCAGTAAAGGCAGATTCATTATTGAGCAACGAAGTAATACACGTGTGTGTTATTTGCATCATAGGACTTGACAAACCAGAGGTAGAGCTTCCTCTTCCTAGAGGATAACAATGAGCATGTGTTATAACTACTCGACTCTCAAGATTCTATGAAAGAACTAATTCAGGGTAGGAAACCCTGCCACATAATACTCAATTATTGGGAACTGTGATAGTTTCTTGGAAGTTTGCATTTTTTGTTTTACCATATTCTGGTGAATACAGAGTTGAGTCACATGTAGAAAAAGGATTTACAAGGTTTTTTTTTTTTCCTTATTTGTTTCACTTTGTAATTTCTCAAACTGGCAACTATATATATATATGACAAAATGTAATCAGGAGAATATTCAGTTTAAAAATCAAATGTTTTCATCATGAGAATATAATGAAAAGCGAGGCCAGGTGAGGTGACTCACGCCTGTAATCCTAACATTTTGGGAGGCTGAGGCGAGAGGATTACTTGAGGCCAGGAGTTTGAGATCAGCCTGAGCAACATAGTGAGACCACATCCTTCCAAAAAAAACAGATGTAGTGGCATGCACTTGTAGTCCCAGCTACTCAAGAGGCTGAGGCAAGAGGATTGCTTGAGCCCAGGAGTTTGAGGTTGCCCTGAGCTGTGATGATGCCATTGCACTCCAGCCTGGGCAACACAGTGAGACCCTGTTTTAAAAAATAGAGAGAGAGAGAAAAATTTTTAGTCATTTTTTAAAAGTTCTATTGATTTTAAGTTTTAATATTCAAAATTGATGTTTTCTGTTGATACATCAAAGTCTACATAGATAAAAGTTTATAGAACATAAATTTGTATCCTGTCAGTTTACTGTGTTACCATAAAAAATATATTTTGGTTCTATAAAATAAATTTTGCAGGTACTTAGAAATACAGCATATTGCATAACAAATAATCATGATCCTATAGTACCTAGATAATAGTTTTTAAAAAATGGTTTATTAAGCCTGACTAATTCATAATTTTATCACCCCCTCGAGCTACTTGCTTTGAATATTCCTGGTTTACATTCAGTCTTAGCAACAAACTACTTTTTCTATTTTCTACTAACCAACACTATATTAACCTTTCCATTAGTTCTTCCTTACTGGTTCCAAAATTGTTTCTTTTTGCCATAAATCTGCCATAATTGATTATAGCATATAAACAAAATGATGATGATTATAATCACATACCTTATTATCTCCTGACATAGCAAAACTACTCTGTCAATGATATTGACAGTGATTTGTTAGACTAGATAAGGCACATAATATTTGATGTGTCCCTTCATGGATTCCCAAAAACATTACAAGCATTGCAGAATATATATGAACCATGAGTGGGATAACCTCAAGTAAGCATTGTTAATAAAATATGTGTATGGAACACTATCTAGAGAAATTCAGTGTTTTTATAATGTCATTAAAATTTCTTTAGTCTGTTAGAAATAAAAAAGCATAGGTTTGGAACTTGGTATTCTTAAGGAATAAAACAAGAATAAATCACTTTATCTTAACAGTTTTCTTTAGGGAAATGTGTTAATGCTCTCAAGTCTAGTGTGACAAACTAGACAAAAATCTACATTTTATCCCTCCAAACTTTAATTTTGCCTCTAAATTTGGAGCATCAATGAGAAGAGAGAAATGAAAAGATTAAAAGAAAGGAAAGGTGAGCAGTTTTTCCTTTCCACCAGCACTGCTCCTACCGTCATTTTCTATTATAAATCCCAATCAGTTCTCAAAGCCACTGAGTATTGCCACTAGTGATCTGTCTGCTGACAGACCAATCCAAATGCCTCTAAAAATAACCAGTGTTTATTCATCAGGAAATGTCCTCAGTGGCATTGTTTATGATATTATGGTTAGCTTCTCTGCAAATTTTAGATAATCTTTATTTTGTAAAAATAAATCTGTAATCTTTAAAATGAATTGCACAATTTTCAGTGAGAAGCAGCAGCTTAGGAGGGCACTGGAGAATGAGATAAAAACTGGAGCTGGGCAGAGCACAAAGCAGAAGAGAGAGGATTTTTTTTTTTTATAGGTGATGGAAAATTGCATAGTGCCTGATTTAAATGACAGACCTGCTAAGAATTTAAAATGACAATTCTTGGAGTAAAAAGTTTCATAAGACCTTTTATTATTCTGGAAAATCAGTTCAGACTGCAATGTGTTTTTAAATCTACCTTTTCTTGAGCTGAACCAATTAAAGGTTTGTATTTTTAAGACAAAAATAAGGTGCTTAAAAACATGTTTTGTTATAAAGCCTTTTTAAAACTACTGAAAATTGATTTAAATTAAATAAAGCAAAGAAAATACCTCCAAAACCTAAATATAGATACTCTCTCTATTTCATTGTCTGTGCAACAGCTATATGCCAAATGATGAAGAGAATTCATATCTTCTCTACTGGAGTATTTATTCAGTTTTACTCCAAGCAACAAATTTTAATTTTTTATCTTAAATTTCTAAGATATAACACTTCTGTTCATAGAAGAAACAAAACAATCCTTTTCTCTCTTCCTACTTCCTCCATAGCCCCTGACTACCTAGAAGATCCCAGACTTGTAGTCTTTCTCTGACCAAGGACTGTCTCATCTTACACTGCTGAGAGAAAAAATATATAGAATTGTGCTAATATAGCATCTATTAGTCACATGCAGATATTTAAATTAAGATTAATTAAAATTAAATAAAATTTAAAATGCAGTCCCTAAGTCATACTAGGCACATTTCAAGTGCTCTCTAGACCATGTAGCTAATGACTATTTTATTGGATAGTACAGATACAGAACATATATATCATAAGAGAAAGTTCCATTGATCGGCACAGGATAGAAAGTCCACAGAGAATATTCAAGAAGTGTTGATTCACACAGAATTCTCTAAAGTGATTCTAAGGTTCCTATGTTCTCACAAATGTAAAATAAAGAATGCAATCAATGATCACTCAGAGTTTCTGAAAATAAGACACTAAATCAAGTCCTGCTGGCTAAGAGAGTACAGTGCTACTTTTATAAGTGCCTGGACCCCAAAAGAGGACAATTTTAAAATAGTTAGATTAAGGGAAAGAGATAAGATAGTCTTCTAATTCTCTCCATTTAATCATTTATTTATTCAACAAATATTTACTGAGCACTTACTATGTGCCTACCGTTCTGATAAGCCCTGAAGACAAGGTGGAAATGACCAGAGAGTATTTTGTGAAAGAGAATGTGGGAAGGGTTCCTGTTTTAGGTATGATGGCCATGGGATGACTCTGAGAAAGTGAACTCTGAAAAATGCAAATATCTAGTAATGACAGAAAAAAGCCAGACAAACAGGGAAACAAATTTCAAACAGAGGGAACAGGACCACAAAGGCTTCCAAACAAGAAAGAACATAATGTACCATGTACTCCAGGAAGTGACAGAAGGCCAACGTGACTGGCATGGAATGTGTGAGGAGGGAGCATGAGATCAGGCTGGTGACTGACACATCATACGAGCAGCATAACTATTATGGGAGTTTCTATTTGGAAAACAAAACAGCAAAGGGTATGGCTAGGTGAAGAAATGTGTGGGAACACCACAATTAGCTTTCTGTAGAAGTAGGTAGATTGTGACAGGATTGTTTAACGTTCGTATCACCAGCTTGTTAAAAATGGAATGAAGAGAATATATTCTTTAATTTGGAAGACAATGCTAAATTTAAGTTATATAATCACCAATGACAATAAAAGCATAATTTTATGTTTATAAAATGCTTCACAGTTTATAAAATCTTTTTCAACATATCATTAATACATTTAATGCTCACACAAACCTTGGGAAGTAGACAGGGCATGTATTGCCATATCAGTTCAACAGATAAAAAATAGGCTATGTAACTTGTTCAAGGTCATATACATAATGGAGCC